AACTGAGTCTGCATGACCTTGGACAGTCCTCAGCATCTGGAAACCCGGATCCTCATTTGGGGACAGAATTTGCCCAACTGTTGTGGCGAACATCATGCTTCAGAATTAGTTTCCTTCCTGGTTCATTCTCTACCTGTCCTTCCAAGAGACCCTTACTTAGTTACACATGTTCCAGGCCATGTAAGATTTACAAGCTTAGAGAAGTAAGCAGAGAGACATGTCCTTCAGCTGAGCTCTGCTCGCTAAACAGCACCCTTCCCGTGTTTTCCACATTGGCTCAAAAACAATTTTCTAGAGGTGGTGTTCACATCCCATGATAGTCACCTTGGTATGATTAAAAGCATTCAGGCCTGGGTTTTTCAGATAGATCTCCATTCTTCTTTCTCTCAGATCATTCACCGGTGATGGGTGAGTACATTCATTTAGAACGTCTAACAATCTCTCACATAGCATGACTCAAAATACATTCAAATAAAGAAACCATAGAAGTTCTATTGGAATAAGGAAATAAATGACCACAGATAAAAAGGTTATGAGAAATGTGCCCAGCGATTATGATAACAGATTGTGGTGACCTGAAGATTTTTAAGATCTATACAAAGGTTTCCAAACTGCAGAAGAGAGTGTAGTGAGTACCAAGGAATATATTTAGTCAACAAACTCCTTAAGGGCCTTCTTCAGTTCTTAACACATGTTCTGCCAGACTGAAGAACTCTGTCAGCCTGGAGCAAGACAGCAGACGGCTTCAGGGTTTCTTTAAAAAAAAACAAAGAAGAAAAAAATGGAACTGAGAGATAACACGGTGTATTTTTGACTGTGTGGAAACTTGTGTCAAACGGGTTTCAGTTTTATGTCATAAAGTTGAAAAGAAAGTTATATTAGGTTCTGTGCAAACTAAAAAAATAAAAGTGCCAAAACAAAGTTTTGCCCTAGGAACAAAAAATGAGATGGTATGGCACTGACAACGGACTGGTCTTCTTTTTGCTGCTATAACAAAACACTGGAAGCTCAGTAGTTGGTAGAAATTTATTGAGCTTGCATCTTTGAAAGTCCAAGACAGGGTAATCCCATCTGTTCCGCTGCTGGTATGGCCCTGTGAGCCACAGAATAGCAAGAAAGGTACCTTGACAGGGTCGTGAATGGGGAAGAGATCACAGGTAGAGGCAGGAGCCAAAGAGGAATTATGCTAATCTCCTCTGAGGGCAACACCCCACAGTCCACCTCCCCACCCCGTCCTGGCTAGGTCCCACTTCTTAAGGGTACAACCCACACCGGCTCTGAGGGCTTAACTCAAGAACACAGACCTTCCGGGGGCCATGGACAAACTCTCCAAACCACAGAATACTCAGCTGGTGAGAATGCCAACCCCGGAGGCTACACAGGAGCACTGGGCAGGGAACACAGTGGGGAGGACAGTGGACTCTGGCTGGGTCTTCAGCATGGAAATGCCACAACCAAGGGTGGACTCGTGAATGGCAGCAAACAACATCAGTAAACACTCCCTGAAAACTCTTAAACCCAAATGGTGGAACAGTTATCACTGGAAGGCATGGGCTTCTGGATTCTACCCACTCCTCATTCTCAGATCCACCAGCTGAAATAGAATCACAAATGAACTATCCAGTGTGCCCTGCACCAGGAGGGCATGTCTCCCCACATGCAAAACTTGATCCCTGGAAGCAGGACCATGGGGCAGGGAGACAGGATGCCAAGGCTGAAGGGGGAGTTTTTCAGTTAAATTAAAATGAAGTGAAAAGACAAAATCAACCCAGGTCACACTAAGGCATTGCCATGGCAACGCCACAGGAACTGTCAAGTGATTGACATGAGGCTGATCTAGCTAGAATAAAGGTCCATCGGTGGAGTTAAACCTGCAGAGAGAGGCAGTAGTGAGCTCCACGGTGGTATTTCAACATTTTTTATAGACATGCTGAATCCACATAAATTCATCAATATTGGAATTACGGATTTCCCTAACTGTTCTGAGCTCCTCCCTCTCCACTCACAGCACCCAGGTCTGTCACATGGGTGTCTGCTCTTCTTCTAGCTGGCCTACTCCAGCAGGCTCAATCTTCTCCACACCGGTGTTCCCACCCAAGCCTGAAAGCTGTCCTAGGAGGTGGGGCAGCTTCCAGAGTCAGGACTCTGTGTGGGGGAGCAAGGGGTTCCTTTGTTCTTCTCTCATTACAGCTGTCCTCTCCCTGTCCCAACCAGGCACTACAACATCCCTAACACCAGCACTTCCTCCTCCTGCCCCTAGTTTCCACAAAATGAGAGACAAAGACAGGGCTGCTTTGGATTTACTAACCTGACTGTAACATAAATGAAATATGCTTCCTTTGCATAGCTTTGGTTTTAACCATATTTGATTGAATTCAACACTTAAATACAGTCAATGAGTTTTAAAAGATACGGAGAAAAAGTTACATAGCTGTATTTTTATTTTTTTATGTATTTATTTTTTTGAAATGGGGTGTCATGTAGCCCAGACTAGACTCAAACTGGGTAAATACCTGTGGATATTCTTGGACTTTTGATCCTATCTCCACTTCCCAAGTGCTAGGATTAGTCTGGGCTACCACAAGTGATTTATTTGGTGTTGAGGACGTCATGCATGCCAGACAAATGCTCTATTGACTGAGTTACATCCCTAGCTGCTTCCTGCTCTCCTACTATACAGTTTTCTTTTCTTTTCCTTCTAGACAGTGTCTCCTTTAGTCTAGGATGCTCAGTCTTGCTTATAGCCGAGGATGACCTCCAACTCTTGATCCTTCTAACTTTGACTCCCAAGTGTTACGATTATAGAAGTGTCACTTCACCTGCCTACATAACTTATTATTTTCTAAAAGTTTATTTAATGTTATGTGCAGGTGTGTGTGTGTGTGTGTGTGTGTGTGTGTGTGTGTGTGTGTGTGTGTGTGTTGTTCATGATCATGCAGTGCCTGCAGAAGCCAGAAGGGAGAATTGGAGCCCCCAAGTACCGGAGTTACAACATGGTTGTGAGCCAAAGTATCGGCACTGGGAAAAGAACCCCCAATCCTCTGCAAGAGCAGTTAAATGTTCTTAGTTGATGAACCATCTCTCTTTCTCCCATAACTGATCCTTAAAAGAATAACAACAACACCAAAACATTAAAAACAAAACAAAAAACCCTCAAGCAGATCCAAGCTAACATTTTCGTCAGTTATAATCAAATGAAAAAAATGTTCCTGAAAATATATCAAAATTCATGAATCTTCATAAAATCCAATCAGCCTAGTTGTTATTGTCATCTTTATGCAGCAATTCCATAAGAAAATGTCTTTTGCCCAGCGTTCAAATACGAGGTTGAAGATTATGGTGCCACCAATCCAACTAAGGTAAGCTATTGCAATGCATCTTTGTTAGAAGACTCCACCTTCCGACATAAAAAGAAAGAAAAAGATCCCAACCTATGGATATTTGTTTCTCCCACCCAGTTGTCACAACACCAATCCAGAAACAGAGAAAGCAGCTAAAAGCTGCAAACGAGGGTAGAAGAGGCCAGCTGGAGTATTTGGAAACACAGCAAAGCAGAGCGGTTGTGCCTTGGCTTGGGCAAAGAGAACAGAAGAATCACAAAGGTTCGCCCGCAGTGGGAGCCGGAAACCTGTCTTCCAAGGACTGCAGTTGTGACCACGCCCCTTCCTGGAGTGGCTTTTGCTCCCTCCGGAAGTCACAGGAAGGATGGGAATATCTCTCTTTGAAACTTTATCTCTAAAGGATGAAAACGCCTACTGTTTCTTGGACGACTAGAGATTTAACTGCCCACGAGGTACTGGGAGGGGTGAGGTAGGGGTGAGGTGTCCTGCAATTAAAGCAGTTGGCTTTCACCATAAGTTAAGGAGTCCAATACAGACCCAGTCCTTGAGCCCCTTGCTTTGAAAAAGGAAAAAAAAAAAGGCTTGTTTTTCTTTTCTCGTTCTGGGTTTTAAGGAACCTCCTTGAATGACAACACCTGGTCTAAACAGACACAAAGTATTTATAGTTGGTATCTAGTCCCCTCGGAATATAGACCCTACTGAGCGTGAAGAAACAGTGGTGCTTGGGATAACAAAATATTACCCAATAGTGCCAGAATACCCTTCTAAATGTAAACCTTATATTTTGAAAACTCCTAAATTTCAAATATACATTGAATGATGAGGGACAGTTTGCTAGGTAAGTTCTACTAAGAGGTCTTTGCTTAAAAATTAAAACCAAACCAGAGAGATCATACCCACATGCAAAATATTAAATATGGCCTTAAAATGACCAAAGAATCATTTTATGCAAACTAAGCAATAAAATAACATTTTCTATCAATTTCACTTCTCAGGGATGAAATATAATTCCAAAATATACTCCCCGATTTTCATCCTAACTTAAAACATTTCGTTTTATAGACGTTTAAGAATAAAATCTGGCATATTTAAGCATTTCAAATACAGAATACAAATCAGTTTTTGTTTTACTGCAAAATTTCCCTAAATCTATTAAAACAAAACTATTGATCTGGATAGAACAAAATGACTTGGTGAAATAATTTCAAGTATTTAAATCTTTTTTTACTCAAATGTAAATATATTCACACACACACACACACACGGGGGGGGGAGAGAGAAGGTGGGGACGCCAAGGAACTAAGGGAAAGAAAAAAAAAACGAGTAGAGAATTTTACTTAACTTTGAACACAATAATTTTGGTCAGCCAGACAAAACTCACTCAAAAACTCAAAAGAAAATGGGAAGCTGACCGGCCTTCCCAATTCTTTCTTCTCCAAGGACTTTTAGAGAAATGAGTCTCTTCTCAATGGCTTTTAGGTGGCGTTAAGTTTTGGAAACCTTATTGATAATGTATATTCAATTGCACACTCGGGAGCCTAAAACAATCTCCAAGGATTTGGAGAGAGAGAGAGACTTCACAAAGGAAGTCCGCCAAGCAGACTTTCTGGTTTGGGCAGGGGTTCAGAGTTCGGTGCAACTGCTCTTTCCCTCACCTACCGCACTTCAGAGGCTCGGGTGCTCTGCATCGCTTCGGGGGCGCGCACAGTGGCAGTCCCGGGGTTCGCCGATCCGCCAGACGAAGTGAGCAGCCGAGAGGCGGGGCTCCCGGCTCGGCCCCGCAGCCGGCCTCGCTCCCTGCGCCCCGGGGGCGCGCGCGCGTGCTCGCCGGGGTCCGGTGCCGCACGCTGGGGCCAGGCGGGTACGCGCTCAGCAGCAGCCCCTGGAGTGAAGCCGCGATCCAACCTTTACTGGCGGCCACGGTCTGTCACCTAGGGGAGGCCCAGGCCCTGGCCTAAGACGCGGCAGGGCGGAGTGGCTCCTATCTGGGCAGGTGACCACGTCCTTCAACCCTTTCTCCCTCCTCCTGTTTCTCCCCCTGCTCCTCCTTCTGCCGGGCGCGCAAGGGTCCCCCGGTTCTCCCCGCTGCCCGGCTCGCCGCTTCCTCCTCCGGGGAACTTCCTCAATAGGCCAGGGCAGTGCCTGCGCTTCCTCCGCCGCCCCAAACCTGAGCACCCCGCCCAGAACCCAGCAGAGTTGGGCAGTGCCCTGATCGGAGCCGGGCTAGAAAGTACCCCAAGATCTAGTGTAGTAACACCCCGAACCTGAGCTAGAATGGGACAGCACACTGAACCGAGCCTGAGACAATTAAAACCCCGAATCTGGACCGGGCAGTACCTTAAACCGAGCATGAGATGGGCAGTACCTTGCCCCTGTCAAGTGGCAACCCGAACCTGAGCCTGAGCCCCTTGATGGTCCCCAAGGCAAGTTTCCACTGATTATCACCCTGAATCTGGGCAACATCGCGAACGGAGCTGCTCAGCACTGCTGGACCAGAGCGGGGCAACACCACAAACTGAGCTGGAGCCAGGCAGCTCCCTGGCATGACATATTCAGAGTAAGGCGCCCTTCTCCAGATCTGGAAGTCCCAGGGTCCAAGGTCCCTCTTTACAGAAAGGAGGGGGTTTCCCCAGCTCAAGCCAGACCCTCGACCTTTCTCCCTCCACCACAGCTGGATTTGTCTAGCCCAAGCGAGACTGCATACTGTATGGAGTGTTTAATGTCAACAGGCCAAGATGCTCCTGCTGACACCATGCCCAGGGAACACGAGTGATCCAAAAGGTGGCCTGAGAGGCTTTTGCCTACAAAAAAAAAAAAAAAAAAAAAAAAAAGAAAAAAGAAAGAAAGAAAAAGAAAAAAGAAAAGAAAGAAAAAGAAACTGTTTCTGAGGGCCTTACCTGTTGTTCACAATCTGCTTCTTGAATCCTGTCCTGCGCTCTTGACATGTTTTGGGTTTTGTTTTCTGTTAGTCAGATTCGAAACAGTCACTTTTGTCAAACTCTAACCAATAATAATAAATAAATACAATGAGTATACAGCAAATAAATAAATAAATAAATGCAATAAATTCCAGATGTTTGCAGTGAATTTTAAAGAGCAGTGTCCTCTGAAGTGCTCGCCATGCAATCAAAATGACCTGGATTTGGTCCCCAGTACTTGTTTGAAAGCTGGGGTACAGGAGCAGGGAGCAATAAATAGTAAATGCAATAGGAAGGTGGTGAAAGACAGTACTGGAGACACATGGGAATAATGCCAAGGGTTATCACAAAACACTGTCAAAAACAACCTGTACAAAAGTCACGGCAGCCTTACACAGAAAACCTTTCTGCAAGAACATGGATCCAGCCAGTTCCCATGCTACTTTGAGTAGACACTGCCCTTATCTTGCTCTTCGTAAACAAGTGAGAGTTATTTGTATGTAACACTGGGGCCTGGTACTCCCATTGTGCCATTAAAAGCTCTCCCTCCCCCATTCTCTGAGACTGTACTCCTGAGAGTGTCCTGGTGTGCATATTTCCAATCCAGCACTCTGAGAATACCAAACAAGTTCATTGTTTCTGTAGTATTGCTTTTCAGTTTAATTTTTAATTAGTTTTAAACTGATTAATGTCCACGTGTGTACAAATCTGTGCAGTATGCACACTGCATGCTGGTGTGTACATGTGTGCTCACAAATGCATGTCGAGGCCAGAAGCTGACACCAGATTTTTTTCCTGCATTCCTTGCCACCTGGTTTCTTGAGGCAGGGTCTTTTCACTGAACCTGGAGTGTACCTATTTTACTACACTTGTTGTATTGTGTATTTTACTACATAGGCAGCAAGCCTATGACTTCACCTGTCTCTACCTCCTAGCTGCACCCTCCTGCCCTGGTTTTCACATGGGGGCTGGGAATCCAATTCAGATCCTTGTGTTAGTATGGCAAGCACTTTCGCCACTAAGTAATCTCCCATCTCCATTTCAGTGTTTTGACAGGAAGCTGCTCTTTAAAATCCCCACAAACAGCATCAAGGATCTCTTGGCAGCACTGATTATTTTAGTGCCTATGTTAAAAACTGTGCCGTAAGCCCAGTCAGAGTCATCCAGGCAAGGTATTAGATTGTGACCACCACTGAAGATGTGGGCTGTTTATACTCACTGGGAGCCCCCTACCCTTTCCTCTTAAAATGTCCCTGGGTTTCCTTTTCCATTCATTTTTGCCTTTAAATATTTTAACCTAAATGGAGGATTTTTAGTTCTTCATCATTCATTATGATTAATTATTTGTCAATATTACACTTAGTTTTGTTTCAGTGATCCAGAAAAATAGCCATTTTACTCTTAAAAGAGGGTGCAGAGTCCACAGGACTTTTCAAGGGTGTAGGTTTTTAATGACAGTTCTCTAGGGAGAGATGAACAAACATCTATTCACCCCATACAGGGAATTGATAACAGACCAAAATAGGCATCAAAATCCACTTTGGTGAACCAGTTGTATACTTTTAGGTTAGGTGCTATTTACAGGAGCAGGAATGCCTCAAAGGCAGATGAGTAATAAAGAGGCCAGCCCAGGAAACTACAACTCTGCAGCTTACTTTAGGACTGGCCTGTAGCTCAACAAGCCCAAGAGTTTCTCTTCTAGGCAGCTTATCTGGTCTGTAAATGTCTCTCTCAACACTCCTCATTGCTTATGTAACCTGTGGGATGGGAAAGGGCCTAGAGTATCTGGTAAGTTTCAGGAACTTCCTGAGGCTTCTGAATTTACTTCCTGAGTCTTACTTAGTGAGCTTCCCTTTAGGACATCCTGAGTCTCGATTAACTTCCCTCTAAGACTGAATGTTTTATCTCAGAGGAAATTGTGACACTGCAGTAAGAAGATGGGGCATGGGACTTGGATCTGTGTGTGCAGTCTTTTTCAACTGGCCATGTCTCTCTCGAGTTTCACAGAGGGGAGACAAGATGACATAATGGTCCTCCCCTCCTCTGAGTCATCTTCAGTGTTAGTAGCCACTGACGTTAATCAACAAATACCTAGAAAAACAAAATCAACATGTTCCCCAGTGTTTCTTCTCCTCACACGTCATGTTCTTCTGAAGACTGCCCAGTAGGCTTCCCCCTTGACACACCTGCACCCTTATGACAGTATGCTAGCCCCGAAAGCCATCTGCTAATCTCTGTACCCGGGACTTCCCAGCACGGTAACTTAAAAAAAAATCTGTTTCTAGTCTATAGGCTCTTTAATAAACTTTAAAAATAGCAAGTGCAGTATAGCTGTTTTCGATGCTAATTCTGACTCATGAAGTCTTTCCGTATCTGGTTATCTCTGAATATTTCTGCTGTTTCTTGCTCATAGTACCTCACTTCCTTGTGTTCTCAGTGGCATTTGGCTGTGGGATACTCATTAGCCCTGAAATTGGTGAAGCCAGGAAGAAGGCATTGTTATTCAATAAGAAAGAGCTTTCATCTCTGGCAGAAACCTGGGTTCTAACTAGTCCTTGAACATTTTTAAGGTACACGTTCAGCTTATGTGTTTTAAGTAGGCAAGTGGTAAGAATTTGAATGGTAAATCTGAGTACAATTTGGCTATAGTTTCTTTGAGAGTGATTTGTTTATTTATTACTATTTGGTTTTTTTGTTGTTTTTTGGGGTTTTTTTGGGGGGGGGGACAGGATTTCTCTGTCCTGGAACTCACTGTAGATCAGACTGGTCTCAGAATTACAGAGATTGACCTGCCTCTGCCTCCTGGATGCTCTAGGCCTTACAAGTTCATGTTTCCCTCTTTCCCAATGTGGTAGCAGATACTAATTGGCTTGGTTACAGTACTTACTCCAGAAGCATCACATTGCACATTGAAAATATACATCATTTTTGGCAATTAAACTTCAAGAAACCCAGACAGGTGTTGATGGCGTACACCTTTAATCCCAGCACTATGGAGGCAGAGGCAGGCAGATCTCTGTGAGTTCGAGGCCAGCCTGGTTACAGATTGAATTTCAGGACAGCCTCCAAAACAATACAGAGAAACCCTTTCTCAAAAATAAAAAACAAAAACAAAAACAAAAAAAAACAAAAAACAAACAAACAAAAAACAAGAAACAAAAAAAAACCAAACAAACAAACAAAAAACCAAAAAGCAACGAAACTTCAAGAAACCTGCAAAAATTTTAAATAAAACTTCACAGACAACAGCCGGGCGTTGGTGGTGCATGCCTTTAATCCCAGCACTTGGGAGGCAGAGGCAGGTGGATCTCTGTGAGTTCGAGGCCAGCCTGGTCTACCGAGGGAGTTCCAGGACAGTCTCCAAAACAATACAGAGAAACCCTGTCTCAAAAAACCAAAACAAAAAACAAAAAAACAAAACAAAAACAAAAAACTTCACAGACAAAATTTAACCTTTTAAATGCTAGAGAGACAGTTTGGCAGTTAAGAATGCTTGCTGTTCATGGGAGAGCACCGGGTTAAAGTTCCCAGCTATGACGCGGTGACTCACAACTGTCATTTGCTCCAATTTCAGAGGCACTACATGCAGGCAAAATACCCAAACAAATTTAACCTTCCCATAAAAGTAAATAAACAAAGTGCCTTGCCCATTTACATTTTCTTCTAATCGTTCTTTTTATACTTAGAACCTTCTTTTTTGAGATTTATTTTAACTTGGTATATGATATGATATATAAGACTAACAGCTGTCTTTCGAATGAAGAAAACATGCATAGTTTGTTTTTTATTCCTCTCTCTCTCTCTCTCTCTCTCTCTCTCTCTCTGTGTGTGTGTGATATGTTCATGGACATGCATGTACACACACACTGTATATGTGGAGTCAATTATCTCCTTCCACCTTTATGGTTTGGGGGATGTAACTCAAGATGTCAGGCCTGTGGGACAGGTGTCAAGTGCTTTTACACAGTGAGTCCTCTCACTGGCCCAGTTGCAACAAACACTCCTTCTGCCCTGCACGGAGAGATGCCAGTTTGCTCATGCATAAACCCCAGTGCTCACCACACACTGAGTTTATTCCCAGTCTTGTTTCATTGGCCAATCAGTGCTTCCTTCTTTAAAAAAAATCAAAATACTTGTTTTTTAAAATAGTTACTTGTTGAAAGACAGCATTAAGAAAAC